TTTGGCTCCGTGGATAGAGCATCAGCCTATGGACTGAAGGGTCCCAGGTTCGATTCTGGTCAAGGCCACATGCCCAGGTTGCGGGCTCGATCCCCATTAGGGGGTGTGCAGGAGGCAGCCAATCAATAATTCCCTCTCGTTATTGATGTCTCTCTCTCTCTCTCTCCCTTCCGCTCTGAAGTCAATAAAAATATTTTTTAATAAAATATAAACAGGACACAAAAATCATTCACCATAAAAGAAAGCAACTGATAAACTGGACTACATTAAAATTAAGAACTTCTATTCATGAGACAGTTTCACTAAAGAAGTAAAAAGGCAATCATTCATACAACTTAACAAAGGGAAGATAAAAACCCAATCAAAAAATGGGCAAAGGACCTAAATAGATACTTTTTGAAAGAGGACACTCAGAAAGCCAAGAGACATGAGAGATGCAAATCAGAACGACAATGAGGTATCACCTCATACCTGTCAGAATGACTATCATCAACAAACAACAAGTGCTGGTGAGCATGTGGAGAAAAAGGAACCCTCGTGCACTGCTGGTGGGAATGCAGACTGGTGCAGCCACTGTGGAGAACAGTATGGAGTTTCCTCAAAAAACTAAAAATGGAACTTCCCTTTGACTCAGTGATCCCACTTCTAGGAATATATCCCAAGAAAACAGAAACACCAATCAGAAAGAATATGCACCCCTATGTTAATAGCAGCATAATTCACCATAGCTAAGATTTGGAAACAGCCTACGTGGCCATCAGCAGATGAGTGGATTAGAAAACTGTGGTATGTCTGCACAATGGAATACTACGCTGCTGTAAAAAAGAACTCCTACCATTTGCAACAGCATGGATGGACCTGGAGAGCATTATGCTAAGCAAAATAAGTCAGTCAGGGAAAGGTAAATATCACATGATCTCACTCATTTGTGGAATGTAATGAACAACATAAACTGATGAACAAAAACAGATCCAGAGACAGAGAAGCATCGATCAGACCATCAAACCTCAGAGGAAAGGCAAGGGAGGGTGGGGGTAAGGGGGAGAGATCAACCAAAGGACTTGTATGCATGCATATAGGCCTAACCAATGGACACAGACACCAGGGGGATGAGGGCATGAGCGGGGACAGGCGGGGGGGTGGGGGGGAGCAGGAAATGGGGGGATAAGGACACATATGTAATACCTTAATCAATAAAGAAAAAAAAGGCAACCAACCCACAGAGTGGAGATGATATTTACAATACAAAGGAAGTGTATCCAGAATATACAGAAACTCTTACAAATCAATAAGACAGACAACTCAATCAAAACGTGCTTCACGAGCCCTAACCGGTTTGGCTCAGTGGATAGAGCATCAGCCTGCGGACTGAAGGGTCTCAGGTTCGATTCCGGTCAAGGGCATGTACCTTGGTTGCGGGCACATCCCCAGTAGGGGGTGTGCAGGAGGCAGCTGATCGATGTTTCTCTCACCGATGTTTCTCTCTCTCCCTCTCCCTTCCTCTCTATAAAAAAATCAATAAAATATATTTTTTTTAAAAAACGTGCTTCACGAGCCCTAGCCGGTTTGGCTCAGTGGATAAAGCATCAGCCTGCGGACTGAAGGGTCCCAGGTTCCGTTCTGGTCAAGGGCACATGCCTGGGTTGCGGGCTCAATCCCCAGTGGGGGGCGTGCAGGAGGCAGCTGATCAATGATTCTCTCATCATTGATGTTTCTAACTCTCTCTCTCCCTCTCCATTTCTCTCTGAAATCAATAGAAATATGTTTTTTAAAAAACAAACAAAAAAAACGTGCTTCACGAGTCCAATCCAATGTCCACTGAACATGAAAAGGTGCTTAACCTCCGAGTCATCAGGAAAAGGGAAATGAAAGCCGCAGTGAGATGCCAGTACATTAGAAGGGCTGATATGAAACTCACAATCGTGCAGCCACTTTGGAAAAGTTTAAAATTTTCTTACCAAGTTAAACCCACACTTACCGTGTGACCTGGCAAGCCCCCTTCTAGGACTCTACCAGAGAAATGGAAGCATTTGTCCGCACAAAGAGCTACCTGAACTTTTACAACAGCATTCTTCGTAAAAGTCCCAAATACCCATGAATGGGTGAATGGGTGACTAATGGGGTGCACCCACAACGAAATGCCACTCGGCGGTGCAAAGAAATAACCCGTGGGGAACATGGACAATCTCTAAAACATTATGCTGGGCAACGAAGCCAGACATAAAAGGCAGCATGCCGTGTGATTCCACTCACACGAAGTTCAAGAACAGAGAAATGTAGTCCATGGGGCAGGAGTCTGTGTGGGTGGGTTACTGACTGAGGGAGACACACTCACACACTAAGAGTTTCAGGTGCACATCCCACACTTGAGAATTCTTTGACCACACCCCATCCCAACCGCCAAATTAGGGCCCCTCTGTTATCCTCACAGTGGCCCCACTGCTCTGCCTCTAGGACACAGTATCTATATATATAAAAAGCTAATATGCTAAGTATCTAACCATCCGACCGGTCACTATGATGCACAATGACCACCAGGAGGCAGACGCTCAACGCAGGAGCTGCCATGACGCACACAGAGAAACAGCACCGTGGACCTGGCGCCCACAAAGCAACACTCAGCTTCCCCCAAGGGGGACACAGGCCCTGCTACCACCCCAGTGAGACACCCCAACAAATCACAGCCAACACTGCCAAGACCCCATGGCACAAAATGCAGCCCACAGCCCAGCCCGGAAATGGCTGCTGTGGGCGCCAGGTAATGACATCACGTAGCAACGCCCAGCTTCCTCTCCCTAGCGACTAGCCTCCTTACAGTTTCTTCAGCCCAGGAACACGACTTGCTTTATAGCCAGGTGCAAACATTTCACATTTTAACCAAATGTCTGTGAAGCGTATTCCCATGCCTCATCTCATTTGATCCTCACAGAAGTCCTAGAGTAGGTAGATAGGAGACTCAGTAGAATCCTATTTTCTTTTCATTAGCCGGAAAACGGAGATTTAGAAAGCTTAGAAACTTGACCTGACTGAAAAGAAGGAATGGTGGACCTTGAAAATGACTTCCGATTTTCTCACTGCACAGAATATAGTCAAACACTGCTGCAGTTAAATGTTTTACCCTTTGTTTTCCCTGCGTGACCTACGATAATAATCTGCTTTGTGTTGATATTTATTGCTGTGTTGCTGACAATTACCTGAAAGAGAAGTTGGTGTGCCTCACTAGGCTGGAAAAAGTTTAGCTACATCAGAAAGGTCTAATTAAGCAAGTTTATTCTATAAATAATATAGAAAGGCTAAGTTGACTTGCACATGAGTGATACATATAAAACTCTCACTGGGGCCAATTGCACGTGTATGTTTCCATCTGTCCTTGTCGATCGTGAATTTGGTTGACACTTCTATTATACAGAAAGAGTGAATAGCGATATTAAAATATTTCTTCTAGTTAATTTCCTTTCAATGTGCACAAATTCATGCACTGGGCCACTAGTGTATTTATAATTCATGCTCTCTTGCAGTTTATCCCTTTAATAGCCCCCACCACCCGCCAGTTCCCCCTGTACCTAACATGTGCCTGATACATAGAGGTGCTCAATAAATAAATGTCTGTTGAACAAATGAGTAACAGTCATAGTCTCCTGACCTAGCCTGTGACCCTGGAGGTGAGGATCAGGTCTACTCTGCTCCCTCAGCAAGTTCCTAGCACCAAATAGGACCACAGAGAGAACGGAATTAGTGAAAGCCGTGGGATCCCATCAACTTGATACACCTAAGTCAGAGACCGCACAGGAGTGCGGAACCGGACCGTAGCCGTACTGCACAGGAGGAATTCAGTTGGTTACAAAGGGAAAAGGCACAACTGTTAAAACCTGAAAGAAAACAAGACATCCACAAAGCATGGGGATGCAAAGGAATTCCATGATGGTTTTGAACTCCTAGAAAACCTATTTGTCATAGTCAGTTTGTGTCAGGGCCTTTTTTAAAAAATATATATTTATTGCTTTCAGAGAGGAAGGAAGAGGGAAAGAGAGAGAAACATCAGTGATGAGAGAGAATCACTGGTTGGCTGCCTCCTGCACGCCCCACACTGGGGATCAAGCCTGCAACCCGGGCCTGTGCCCTGACCCGGAATTGAACTGTGACCTCCTGGTTCAAAGGTCGAGGCTCAACCAGGAGCCCCCCTGGGGCAGGGTCTTCAAGGACCCGGCACTAACCTGCCACAGCCCAGGTGCCCATATGGTGTCCCTGGACATTCCACAAAGCCCCTCCCTGGTGCTCCTCAAAACCCGCGAGGTCATCAAAAAACAAGAGAAACTGTCACAGCCAGGAGGGCCCAAGGAGGCCTAACGGGCGGATCTAATACACTCGCACAGGATGCTGGAGCGGAAACGGCACATTAGGGGAAAAATAGCAAAATCCAAAGACACTTCAAAGCTTCCTTAACAGTAATGACCACTGTGGGTTCCTTATGGGAGAATAAACCATCTTTTCTGCCAAAGAAGGGAGTTTAGGCGGGGGCCATTTGCGCAGCTCACCCGGGGGCCGCCATTTTGAAACAGCAAATGTCAACCCCTCCCGCCAATTAGCCGGTGGCGCAGGTCTGCGAGCCTCACTCTTCCGGCGGCGCCAGGCTCTGCGGGCCGCACCCTCCTGCGCACGTTAGGGTGCTGCCTTGCTGCCTGGCTCCGGTGTGCCTTGTGTCCTACCAGGACCCCTGTGTTGGGGGCTCTCCTTATTTCTCACAATTCGCTGTGGCGAAGGCACACCGAGTGCTTCTCAGAAAAGGCTCCGTGTTGAAAAGGTTGAGGGAACTTCCGTCGCATGGCGCCACCGGCGGGGAAACAGGCCCCGCCATCCCCTGACGCCTCCCCGTGCGCAGTGCCTACCTTGGGCGGGTCGAAGAGCTCCAGCACGCGGTCCGCGCCGCCGGCGGGAAACAGGCCCCGCCCTCCCCTGGCGCCCCGACGACGCAGGAGCCGCCGCGCGTGCGCAGTGCCTACCTTGGGCGGGTCGAAGAGCTCCAGCACTAGGTCTGCGCCGCCGGGGCCTCGGGCGCGCAGAGCCAGCCGTCCGCGCTGCCAGCGTGCCCCGCTGTCCATGGAGGCCTCGTCGGCCAGGCTGTAGCGCAGCACGGCCTCCTTGAGGACCTCAGGCGGCGGCTCCCGGGCCAGGCTCCAGGGCAGGAGCTTCCGGGCCAGGCTGGGCTTAGCCCGGGTCTCCCCTGCGGCTCCGGCCGCCGGCAGCTCCCCAGCCGAGCGGCGGCGGATGATGTGGCGAAGACTATGGCGCAGGTGCTGGAAGGCGCAGGGCGCCGGCGGCCGCGGCGGGGCCAGTTCCTCCGAGCTGCGCGCCTTGGGCAGGGCAGGGGCGGCGGGGCCTGGGTCGGGCTCGGCTGGAGGCGCCTCGGCCTTGGCCGGGGGCCCGCGGCCCGCCTCCCGGTAGTCACGAGCCGGTGGTCCCGGCGCCCGGCCCTGGCGCACCTCGCGGCAGAAGTAGAGCTGGAAGAGGTCGGTGAACTGCAGCGACACGAGCTCGGCGCGCAGCGGCGCGTGCTGCGGGTGCTCGCGGACGAAGAGCCAGTACTGCCGGGCCAGCTCCCGGGCCGTGGCCACCGCGTGCAGCTCACAGAACTCGCTCCAGCCCCGCGGGGCCGGGGCCCCGGGTGCGGACGAGGAGGCGGAGGGCGCGGAGGAGGGCTGCAGGGTGGGCCCGTTCATGGCGGTGACGGAGGTGGAGTGGCCAGGCTGAAAGACAGTGGGAGAGGCAACAAGGAGTGAGCAGACAGGTGAGAACGCACCACGGAAGCCCCCACCAGCGGCTTGTCATTCACCAGGACCGACGTCAAAAATCGCGCCCCACGCGGGATCAACCTGTGACTTTCTGGTTCACAGGTCCACCCTCAACCACTGAGCCACGCGGCCCAGAGTCACACAAAATGTTAGCTCCCGCGGCTGAAAGTCTTTTCAAAAGAATGGGCTAATTAGGCCAGATTATACATCAAGTGTGGGGGGGGGGGGGTTAAGTCCATCGGAAAGGATTTACATTAGCTATAGCCAGAGGGCATGGGGAAACTGATGCAAACACCCCCACCCACACCCACCGGGGAGAAGGGTTTGCTCCTGCGGGAGCAGATTAGAAACTTCATGTGTAAATTAGAAGCGGAGGCGCCTGGGGTTCAATAATCACGGAAATAGCCACTTGGAAATTAATCCTAAATTTCAGCAGTTACACAGGAATGAATGTGAGCAGTCTTTGGTCAGAGCTGGCCCACAGCTGTAACTGCTCTGTCTCTTTCACTCTCCGATTGTTGTAATTTTAACTTAGAACATCTCAGATTTTTTTAATTGTCACAACCTATACACCCATCAGTCAGAGAGCACCACCACCCAGGAGACGTCTCCAAGGTACACCAGGAAGCAAGCAAAGCAAACCACAGAAAAATACAAACTGCGATCCTGTTTACATACACACAAAACCCAACTGCCCATTTCTGTGGGTACATAAATGTGGGTGGTGGGCAAGAAAAGTGTGGCTGGAGCAAACCCACCCAGGAACAGTGGTGACCTCTGGGAGCAACAAGAACCGGGGAGCAGGGGAAGTACCAGAGGAAGACTTACTACTTGTCTCTAGGAATATGGTTAAGAACACAGACTGTTCGCTAGGTACCCTGTATGCCGTTGTTTCTGAGTTGCCTAGCAAGACTTTTCCTGCCAGTTACTTCTGGCTTTTCCTAACTATCTGTAAATCACCCCTTCTCATTTATGAGATACAATACCCACCTCCCTTTTCCTTTGTCAAAAAATGTCTTAAGCCCTGGCCAGTTTGGCTCAGTGGATAGAGCGTCGGCCTGCGGACTGAAGGGTCCCAGGTTCGATTCCGGTCAAGGGCATGTACCTGGGTTGCGGGCACATCCCCAGTAGGGGGTGTGCAGGAGGCAGCTGATCGATGCTTCTCTCTCATCGATGTTTCTAACTCTCTGTAAAAAATCAATAAAATATATTTTAAAAAAAGATACTATGATATTAACTTATATAAAAAAATAAAATATATATTTTTTAAAAAGTCAATATATCCAATGTTGCCTCACTGTCTTTGGAATTTCATGCTTATGTGAATTCCCCACGAGCATGAATTCAACCTTTGATTTTCTCCTGTTTAAAAAAGAGAGAACACAGAGCCTGGGTTCAAATCCCAGCACCACACTTGTGTGACCTTGGGTGAGTTTTTTGATTTCTCTCTGCCTTAGTTTCCTCACCTGTGAAATGGGGACCATGATTATACCTATCTCATAGGAGTGTTATGAGGATTGAGTTAATTAATGTAAAGGCCTCAGAAAGTAAGAAAAGCTTAAGGGTTGGATGCTTTTATTGTTATTTAAATGTTACAGTCGGAGTGTATTATTGCCAATAAAAACAAATATTAAAAAAAGGAATAAATGGACTAGAGTTCAGTGGTTCTCAACCTGGCGCTTTAAATACAGTTCCTCATGTGTGACCCAACCATAAAATTATTTGCATTGCTACTTCATAACTGTAATGTTGCTAGTGTTATGAATCATAATGTAAGTATCGTATATGCAGGATGGTCTTAGATGACCCCTGTGAAAGGGTCATTCGACTGCCAAAGGGGTCACGACCCACAGGTTGAGAACCGCTGGACTAGACTCACAAGAGGTGCAAAAATATTTCCTGCTCTGATGGAGGAATGTCAAGACAGCCAACCCTTGCCCACCCATCCCAGCGGGGGCTCCCTTCCATTTCACCTCTTAGGTCCTTCCCCAGGCACCTCGCCATTAAAGGGCAGAAGCCCCCCAACCCTCTGCTGTCCAAGGTGCTGAATCCTGGAGCTCTCTAGTTACCATTAGGACTGGCCTTCCTTCCAACTAAACTAGGCTGGGCTCAGGTGCCCACATGGCTGCTCATTCACCTCCCCAAAAAGTATTATAGAGGGCCTACTATGTGCCAGGCACTGTGGTAGGCCTTGGGATACAACAGTAAACCAGACAGAAATGCCTGTTTTCCTGGGGCTACTTTATACACCCGTGCTCACACACATACACAGGCACATACATACACACGTATGTATTGGTTGTGTGGCCTCTGACACCTGATTCTTTAGAGTCTGTCACACTGGGAGCAGTATGGTATCGACCACATAAGGTGGTTTTAAAGAGTCCTTGAAAATGGGACTGAAATGTCACATGGAGATTGGAACCCAAAAATGGGTTTCTTTCACCCCACCATCTCCAGGCCCCGGTGGTGACCCTGGAGCTGATCAAGCAGGACACCCCGGCTGGGAGGGTGCTGGGCACAAGCTGAAGTTTTTGCACATCACAGTGTCCTGGGCACCTACACACATTAAGCTCTTTGCACATAGTAGGTAATCAGTAAAAGCAGCCAGGCAGAGGGAGGGGAAAGGAGCCCTTGTGCCCTTGGCCACCACACTGCCAAGAATACAAGCCCTGTGGCTGAAGGGGGAGGGTTTTACCAGCATATGTGGGTGACGTGGACCCTGGTGTACCCCACATCCATGCCCTGACACATGTGAAGCAGGTACTGTCTTCACAGTTTGGGGGAACCAGAGCTGTCAGGTGCCAGACCCAAGTTCCTGCCCCACCTACGGGACCCTGTGGGATCTTCCCCACTTGCCCCAGCTGCCTCTGGGTGATGCATTCATGCCGCCTCTGCCCTGCCTGCTCAGTCTGCCTTCAATCTCACACAAGACTTCCCTAAGCCCACCCCCCAGTCACATCCTGACCTTGTCTGGCACATACTTAACAGTGATGATTATTTAATTGCTCACCAAACTGAACTCAACGAGGCCAGGAGCTCCCCGTTCTATGCCCAGTTCCTAGCATAGGCAGGAGCTCAATAAATACCTGTTGATGAATGAATGAATGCAAAAGTTCAGCTGAATTGGCAACCTCTGGCTCTTCTGGTAGATGCATGGCGGCCAGCACCCACCAATGGCCCAACCCGCCCGTGAACACTGGGCCTGTCTGCCTGTCCCTTTGCCTGGAACACCTGTCCCTGTCCACCCCTGCATGTCAGTTTCAAAGTCCAACTGCAGGGCCAAACCCTGCAGTTGTATCCACTCCAAGCTCCGTCCCTGCCCAGGCGATGGCAGGCCATGGCCCCCATTCCAATTTCTCCATAAGAGTGATGTGTACTGAGCCCTTGCAATACCTCACACATTTTTCTAACTACCCTTGCAAGACATTAACTCTCCCAAGCTTCATGACAATGAAGGTAGGGCCAATACTTGGAGGTAGGGCCAATAACTGCTCCCATTTTATAGATGGAGAAACTTAACACACAGAGAGGTCCCACAGCTAAGGATGAAACCCTTGCACCAAAATGCCCTGTGGGTGCCCAAATGCATACCATGAAGAAGACTCGCTTCCTAGTGAATGTTATTGAAGGAATGAGTAAAGGTCTCATTCAGTTCCCCTGTCCAGGTCTCCAACCCACCAGGTGGTCAGAAAAATAGCCATAAGGTGAAAATTAATAAAAATAAAATAAGAAAGGGTACTAGCCTGGCCAGCATGGCTCAGTGGTTGGGCATTGACCTATGAACCAGGAGGTCACAGGTTCCATTCCCAGTCAGGGCACATGCCCAGGTTTCGGGCTCAATCCCAAGTAGGGGGCGTGCAGGAGACAGCCAATCAATGATACTCTCTCATCAATAATGTTTCTCTCTCCCTCTCCCTTCCTCTCTGAAATCTATCTCTCTATATATTTTTTTATTTTTTATTTTTTTAAAAATATATTTTATTAATTTTTTACAGAGAGGGAGGGAGAAAAAGAGGGATAGAGAGTTAGAAACATCGATGAGAGAGAAACATCAATTCAGCTGCTTCCCGCACACTCCCTACTGGGGATGTGCCCACAACCAAGGTACATGCCCTTGACCGGAATCAAACCCGGGACCCTTCAAGACTGCAGGCCGACGCTCTATCCACTGAGCCAAACCGGCTAGGGCTATTATACTTTTTAAAAAACTTGTCCTTTTTTGGGCGGTCAGGGCTATTTTTTATTTTTAAAAGGGTACTAGCTCATGCTGTCCGTGTGCCCTGTTCTGTTCCAAACACTTTGCTTTTATCACTTGTTTATTCCCCTTTGGAGGGGGAGTCCCAACATTATGCCCATTTCATAGCTGAGAAAACGAGGTGTTAGAGGAGTGGCTTGCCGGGGTCACAGGGAGTGAGGGGCAGAGCTGGGATTAGAACCCAGGGCTGTGCGGCCAGCGGACTGAGAGGCCCTCCCATTCCTGCCCACTCCCAGGGCCTGGCTAGAGGAGGTACTCTAGAAATACCAGCTGTATGAATTAATGAACCCCTGCGGTTGAGATGGGTGCCAAACCGCACACTTTAGAGTCATGCTCCTGACCCAGAAGGACGATAGAAAAGGCAGTGGGAAACCCATGGGGGTTGCCCCCCCCACCCCCAGCTGACCTCTCCGTTGTGGAGCTACCATTCAAATCTGAGGTCACCTCCTCGCCGGGTGATGCAGAAGAGGGGCTTCCCTCTCTGAGCTTTGGTGTCCCCATCTGTAAAATGGGCTGCTGTTCTCTTGGCATTGGCTAGGAGTATTCTAGGGACTGAAGTCTGTGGGGTGCTTGGCACAGGGCTCAAGAAACAAGTGGCTGTTACCATTTTATTAGTATTATTGTTAGAAAATAAAGGTGCCAGTTCCAGAGAAGGTCAGGCCTGCCTGCCACGAGAAGCCACAGGGGGAGAGTCTGG